ATGGGTGGAAACTAATCAAGGAGAAAAGCAACTTAGAACTAAGGAGAAATTTCCTGACAGTTAGAACAATTAACCAGTGGAACAACTTGCCTCCAAAAGTTGTGGATACTCCAACACTGGAAGCTTTTAAGAAGAGATTGGATAACCATTTGTCTGAAATTGTATAGGCCTAAGCAGGGGGTTGGACTAGAAACCTCCAAGTCCCTTCCAACTCTGTTATTATGTTAAACATATGCTTCCTTGACATATTTAAGTGAGTGATTGAAAAGGATTATTGGCTCTTTTTCATGCTTAACTGGATCAATGTAGCAGTTAGTATGCAGATGGTCCTCAACTTATGACAATTGGGATCAGAATCTCAGTCCTTGACCGAAGCAAGATGCCATGGGATTGCCCACATATCAGAGGTGAAATCCTCCCGGTTCGGCCGAACCTGTAGGGATTATTTTCCTTGGTTCTGCGAACCAGTAGTAAATAAATAAATAAAAAGCTTCCGAGAATCACACGGCTCAGCTATGGACCGGCGGGGGGGGGGGGATGCTTTAAAAAGCTTTTTAATAAAAGCTGGAAGTGGAAAAAAAAGTTGGCCATGCCCACCCAGTCACTTGACCCCCTCCTTCCCAAGCCACAGCCACAGAACTGGGGAGGGGAGAAATTAGATTTCACCACTGCCATATATGAATGCTTCACTCAGCAACCACAATCCTGGCATTCCCCATTGTGTTCGTTAAGCAATCATATGGGTTGTTAAGCAAGTGGAATCCTAGATAAGGAGTGTGGGGTGCTTCCGTGGGTGGGTGGGGGAGACTCTAGGACAGTGATGGCTAATCTTTTTGTTATCGTGTGCCCCCCCCCGGTCCCCCAGTGCATGCATGCACAACCTGCCCCCACGCCCCGTTTTGGGCATAGCAGGCCTCCCTGAAGCCTCCTGGGACCAAGAATGGGGCACAGTGGGGGCACGCCACGCCCCCTGCACTCCCTGACCCCCACGCATGCGCACGCAACATACCCGCCCCACCATGCATGCACGCACGTCTCCCGCATATGCCTCGTCCCCCACTCATGCGCAGCAGAGACCCAAAAATCAGCTGGGCGGCGGGTGGCACATGCACGCACGCATGGTGGAGTTGAGATGGGGCGCTGGCTTGTGTGCCCGCAGAGAGGACTCCGTGTGCCACAGGTTTGCCATCATGGCTCTAGGAGATGAAAATCCTTCCTGCCGAAATCCAAGCTGGATTTTGAGCCCCTGAGCAGAGATCCACTTCCATGACCCTTGTACCAAGCTTCCAATTGCCCCCTTTACCTCCAACTCTTCCCAAGGCCCATCTTACCATGTTTTTTTGCTTGAATTTTGACACCTTCTGGGAATCGCACCCCACCCACCAAAGGAGTTCACCTCCCTTTGAGAGGCAGCCTTTCAGCCAGCCCTTAGAGATGAAAGTGTGCCCTCTTAGCAGACCGTGGCACGACAAAACCGCGCTCGACTAAAGGACGCCCGATTAAACCGCGTCGCTGACGTCATCAACAGGGCGACAACAGCGAGC